TATAAATCTGAGTTAGATGTAAAAACAAACAAACAAAAAAATCACAGTAGAGGCTTGTTTGGGTACAGCCAGTAATGAAAGACATTCAGATTTCTGCCTTGAAATATGTGTACATTCACCCACCATGGATGAGCAAAGAGAAATTAGCCTCCAGGTATCCAAATCAGGTTTGTCCGACAAGTTTTGTTCAGTTATGTAAGTCCACGGCTTCTCACGATGGTGGTTCTCAGTGTGCAAGGTTACATCACCTGCCTATACAGATCTTATCCCTTAACTCCTACTAACAGAATCTCATCTTATTAGCACTGATGGCATACCCACCTAGAAATCCCATTTCCCAGTTTCCCTGGTAACCAAGCACAGTCGTGAGGTACTCTTGACCATGGAGAGGCAGAGGAAGCTGCTGTGCAGAGCTCCTGGAAAATTCTGCTGGTGGAGAACAGACTCACAGTCTGATTTTTCTGGACTCCGGCACTGATAAGGATGAGAGCATTCTTTCTCTGTGCCCATTCTCTTCAGAGCACTTGCCTGTATGTCACCATGCTGTAGTACAGCACGTGACAACCACTTCCTGTTACTCCCAACTGCTTCCTGTAAGAAGGAAGTTGTTAAACGGTAGCAGGAAGCCTTAGGCTTCCTGTGAAGGGTTTTATCCAGGGCCTCTCATGACCACACTGATCATGTCATCTCTCTGGTCAGAACCTTCAGGGGTTCTCAAGGAACCCTCCTTGTCTCTTCCCTCTCCCCCCCCCATGTCCTCCTGGAACTTGTGATCCCTTTCCTTGGCTTCCCAAATGTTGGCCTCACAGGCATGCACTGAGAAACCCAACTGGAACGTTACTGTTGTAGCAAAACTGTGTCCTTAGGAAAAGGTCTCACACATTTGCAACAACATTTTTACTTGGCTTCATGTAGCCAGCCTTGGATTTCATTTAATTTCTATGTAGGCCCCTTTTCCTGCACACCCTATAAGCCAGGTAAGATCAGGATCCATATAAGAATGGTTGAAGGTTTATTAGAGACTCAGGGTGTACCTCAGTTGATAGAATGTTTGCCTAGCATGTACACACAAAACAGGTGTGTTGCTGCAAGCCTTTAATCCCAGTGCTTGGGAGATGGAGGCAGGAGGATTTGATGTGTGAAGATCCTTGTTGCATAGCCTGGGCTATGTGAAACCCTGTGTCATGTATCTATTCTTAGATACAGTCACTGGGTGGACAATGGTAAATAATCACATCAATTCTGTCACTTTGATGTCTACCTGGAATCAAAACCATAATAGTAAAATATACACATTCTTTTCCATTTGGGAGCTTTCGAGTATATACAACAGCAGAAAGACGTGCGCTACTAAAATCATTACCAGATTTAACATTCACCACCACTTCTGTTCTTCCATTGCGAACGTTTTAAATGTAACAGGAGGTAGTGACTCGGGATCTTTAAACTTTGAAAAGTACTCTTATTTGAGAGGGGTGCACACATGGCACTATGGAGTGTGTGTGAAGGTCAGAGGATAACTTTTAGGAGTCAAGTCTCCTTCTACCATGTGGGCCCCGGGGCTTAGGTCATCAGACATGATAGCAAGAACTTTTACCTGCTGAGTCATCTTGTCAGCCCAAGATTTGTGAACAGCAATAAACACACAGACACACGTAAATCTATTGACTTTAAGGCCTCCAATCATTACATTTGGCTATTTTTCCATGTAAGAACTGTGGTTCTTGTAAGATCAGTGGTTCTCAACCTGTGGGTCACAACCCCTTTCAAGTATCAGATAGCATGCATATCAGATATTTACATTCTGATTCATGACACTAGAAAAATTACAGTTAAGTAGCAAGGAAACTAACTTTATGGTTGGTGTCACCACAACTTGAGGAACTGTATTAAAAGGTTGTAGCATTGGGAAGGTTGAGAACCATAGACCTAGAGGAACAGCTAACACTTGTATTTCTTATTCTAAGGATATTTTCAACTAAAATCAGACAGCTGTCAATTATACACAACACAACACATGCATGCCTCGGTGTGTACACATGTCTTCACAATAAGAACTTTTCCAAAGTCTGGCTGCAGTACAGAGATTATACCAAGTATTAATTTCTTATATCATCTGATATCTATACCATATTCAATTAACTGTTATTTAAAGATCCTATTATAATTAGTGTGTTCAAATCTATATAAAATACTGGATTGTTAAAATGCAGGTCTTTCTTAATTTACTATAACTCCCTTCCATGTCTTTATTGTAGTTTCTTTGTGGTGGTACTGGGGATGGGGGCCAGGATGGGCTATGCGGGTCCTCTGCCACCGGCATCCCCCCTAGTCCCTCTTTTTTTTTTTTTTTTTTTTTGACTTTCTTTCTAGGTCATTTTTGGTGAATTAATCGGGCCACTTGTCTTATGAAATCCCTATACTTTAATACCTTATATCTGGCTGACTGAACCAGTCTAGTATCTTTTAACAAATTCCTCTATCCACAGGCTTTATTGTTATCATTACTATTAATTGCTAACAATTATTACTGCAGCTGATTTAGAAACCGACATTCAACTACAAAACACAAACTGGGGCAGGAAGTTTTTATAGTACAATAGCATGTTAAAAGACACATTAACACCACAGCATCTCACTTTTATTGGCATTGAGATGGTGTATGGATTCAGACTCCACCAGCCTCCACATCAGCCTCCCATCAATCATTTCAACAGATGCCTATGATCTTTACACAGAAACTTATTTCAGTTAGGTGTGACACAACACGTTTTAAGTTTCTTATCTACTTATTCATATGTGTATAAGTGTTTGCTTGCATGTGTGTATAAGTATAATGGGCTTGTCTGGTGTCTATGGAGGCCGAAAGATGTTGGATCCTTTGGAACTAGAGTTACAGACAGTTGTGATCTTCCATGTGTGAACCAAACCCAGGTCCTCTGCAAAAACAGTAAGTGCCCCTAACCACTGAACCATCTCTCCAGCCCCTTGTTATTTGCAGACATCTGGTCTACTAACTCACTATCCATTTTGAATTGTACACATTTCACATGACACAAACTTGCCTTCAAATGCCTTCACAATATTTTTCAGTAATTGTGAATGGCAGGTCTTTTCTTCCTGCAGCATCTGTCCTGTGCATCTCTCCGAACATTCATCTGCAGGGGAGATACAGGTGGTCCCAAAGGGCATTTCGAACACTCAAGTCGAGCACAGTCTTCTGAATGTAGCAAGCAAATAATAAATGTGCCAAGTGCTTTGACTTGGCGACTGCTAAGACTTAGACTCTCCTACACATGCAAATAAAAGCAGATAGATTCCAAAATGAAACACACATATACACATGCATACACGTAATGCCACAAATTTATTATAGCACAGACAGAGAACAAACCCAAATTCTCACAACTTCCACAGTCATTAGAAAGTTAACAGAAATAAGAGGTAACCAACGCACATAATCTCATAATTTCCCAAACATGAAACAATGTAGTGTACTAAGTTTAGGGTTCTCCTTAGGTATGAAGACGGAAAAAAATCATAACACCCCACAGATGTTTAAAAATGTATATTTATAACATATATAGTGGTCCTCAAGGACTCACAGAACTTTTATAACAAACTATACTTAACAGCTGGGCTTTCTGCTTATGAGGCAAGCAAGTTTAAAGGCAACGAAGTCCTGAAAAGTAGGTGAAACCCATTAGATGCTCTGTTTGATCAAACACCGCCCACACAATTTCTGCAACCAGTGACATTTGTTTTGATACACTGATGTTTACATCTGCCTTTCTGTCAAACCGTGATCTGTTTTCATATAGTCTTCACCTTCCCAGCGCTCATTGTATAAATTAGAATGTAGTGTGTCACCATGTTGCTTAGTCCCCTGGAATGTGAGACATTGTAAATACTTGGAGGAGCCGGGAGGAGAGAGGAAACCAATCAAAGCCTCCTGTTTAATTTTCTATTTTTGGTTCCTTTGGGTCTTTGCCCTACTTGAGTCTTTGGGAATCGCTTGTGTAGGTAATTACATCTACCATACTGTCCCATCAACACACAGAGTCAAAATAGGAAAACATGGATCCCTGAGACCTTCACAGTGACAGACTAGTGCTGCTGCTCCTGTCAGCTCCGCTCATCTGCTACTTGTTTTTTTTTTTTTTTTTTTTTAAGTATGAAAATCTTCCTATTATTCTCTGCTTCTCGTTGTAAGCAAGTGGAATCTCTAAAGGCCACTTAACGGCAAATAACTTTATAAGTTAAATAAATGTGGAGACAAAGGCATGGTGCAGAGTAATGAATCGGGAGAGAGCAGGCAAAAACTTCAGGGTTTACAGTCAGCAAAGACTCAGGCTCTGTTGCAAACGGAGCGACACTGTGGCATACATGACCAAGGCCATTTTGAAGTTGTCCACAAATAAATAGTCCTTCAAAGAGGAAAAGGAAATAATATCTACAGCTTCACAAACGTCCAAGTATTGCTAGGTGGTTCTGGTTCTCCAACAAGAATAAGAAAATTCTAGAAATTAGCCTTTTGAAGGGGGGGGCATTTGTCACATGAATTTCAGCCCTTCACAATATGGCTTACAATATGAAGAAAAGGAAATCCTCACTAAGCCATGATTCTGGATAATATTTCTTCATGTGGTGTATCCACAACACTAAATATACATAATACATGACCAGAATATAGTTGCTTTGTCTCCCCAACTCTAACAGCCCTTGTTAATGTAACCAGATCTGACCCCAGGCACTCTACCGCACACCTCCAGCTGCTTCATAAGCCACTTTGCATAGCGGATATTTGAAAATTAATTTGTGATTCAAAGGCATCTGAGGTAAGCTGATCACATGAGCATTTAAATATCTAACTAGTACATAGTTAGGCAGGACAATGTTTTGAAACATGACGCATCAGAGAGTGGCATTATACTACAACAATTATAACTTTCCCCAATGAATTCCACAGCATCCGACCCTCTTTTCAGACATACGCAAAGTTAACTGTAAAATCGCCCTCAGCAAAGTGGTCATTAGCCTGTTGAAACAAATCACCTTGTTTGCAACGTGACATTACCTTCACCTTAGTGTCAAAGGTCTCAGTGCAGAAAGGGAAGCACCACTGCCCCCAACAGCTTATACACACGTTGTCAGAGAGTCTCGCCAGCAGGACTGGAGGCAACCACTCAGAAGACCCATTCGAACTTACCATTAACAATTTAGAATGATAACTTATCAAAAAGTCACATAGGCATCACCTGTGTTAGCACTTTTAGACTGGGAACTGAGCCCTAGAGTGACTATAATGTCTTCTGAATACAAGGAATGAAAGACAGAGCCAGAAGCCAGTCAGAGGTCTCCAGACCAAGCAGGAGGAATCTATCGTACTCAGTGGATCTCCGTCCATGGTCAAAATCGCTAGTATTTTTCATCTATCCCGGAGTTCCCAGAAGAGTACTATCTTATACTTCATACCCTCCGCTCACTGTAGCAAAATGTATTAAGACCTTTCAGTTCGTGTGAAAGGCAATAGGAAACCTCCTGGCTGCTCTAGTCCCTTCCACTGAGAAGACTTACTGGGAGCTTCAGACTCTCAAAGATCAGAAACCCAAATAACTTATCATAAAAAATACAAGCTCTTGGTTTTGAAAAATATACAAAATGCACTGCATAGGTAAGTGTGTCTTGATTGTCAAGGAAGGCAAGAAATCAGTATCAAATGTAAATCCAGGCACTGCTCACGTTTTAGTGAGGCTTTGTCTTGCAATTCCCATTTTGAATAGTTTTGGGCAACCTCTGACCCTTGGTATAAGCCCGGTACCAAAAATGGAGAAACAGTAGCAGGAAGATGCATCCGTAACTCATAATGATGTACAGGAAAACTGGGTACTGGTAATTACAGTCCTCCATGAAGAAGATCTGGCCTATGTGGATGGTGACAAGGACAAACTGGACCTGGGAGATGGAAGAATGAAAAAAAAATTAGACACAAATAAACCCATTTGGGCTTATGAGTCCTTTAGCCATTCCTAGGTTATCACTGGGCAGGACAGTATGTCTTTAAATGTGTCCTTTCTAGGAGTGAGACTAGGTTAGGTTTAGGGTCAAAATCTACACGGGAATTCAGAACCAATATTCAGTGTTGACACCACACAACTCCAGCAGATCCCACTTAAATGTTCCCTGGAATGTGCTATGTGAATTCAGAACCAATATTTAGTGTTGACACCACACAACTCCAGCAGATCCCACTTAAATGTTCCCTGGAATGTGCTGTGTGGCAACATGCATCCTATTTTTTGGCCTCTAACAAGGCTGTTGTTTGTTTGTTTGTCTGTCTGTGGGAAGTCTCAAAGACTCTAGTGCTTGGTTCTGATGAAGTGTGCTGGGATCAATACACTGTGGCCTACTTTTTCAGGGTAAATTTGATTTCCAACATTCTGTCTTCTCAGAGGCTACGTGTTTTTTAAGTTTTGGAAGAAGCTAACATCCAAGTTAGAGACTTCTTAGTTTTGATGGATCCAAAGCCCCTATAAAGAAATAGCATCTATGAGCTAACTAACCATAATTAGATTTCTTATAATATAACTTTATTGTTATCATCAGCCTACAGTGAAGCATCCTCACCAACTTCCAGGCTCCCCTGTCCGGCGGCTACGCTTGACTCCCTTCATTTGGCAAGAGAATAATGGAACCTTGGAAAGGTGAAGCATAATCCCCCACACACGTGTGCTTCAGGAAAGTGACAAACCGGTGCCTAGCCTTTGTTTTATGTACAAATCTTTCCACTTTATTGGAATGTTTATGTATTCTGAAACCAGATCTTAGGTAGGATAAACTGGCTTCAATCTTGTTATGTAGCTGAACATGACCTTGAACTTCTGACGACTCCTTCCTCTATCTTCCAAGGTCTGGGACTGCAGGCATGCACAAACATACCTGGCTCGCTTTATTTAAAATTTGTCACATTTGTTAGATTGAGAAAAAAAAAAAAACTAATGTAAGATCATGTATGTGGTAAATATGAAATCTGTAAATGGCATGAATACACACATATGCATAAGGGGGAAAGTTGAATTAAAACAAAACTATTACCCGGGAGAGATGAAATTGCACTTATTAATTTTTCATTTGTATGGCTTGTAGCTAAGCAGCTTGTAGGAGCTAAGCAAACTCTCCTCCACTAACCTACATCCCAGCCCAGTTTATTTTTCTCCATCTTTCTAATTAGGTATTTTACTTCCATATCTCTGTGCAGAGAATATGCACACACATAATGATCACGTATTACTGCACAATGGGGAAAATATTTTAAAGGAAAGAAGCCATGGAGAATAATTGCCAGGATCCCACAGTATTCCAAAGTAAGAGTAAAACAGAAGTATGAATTAAAGTATCCCTCCGCCACCTCCTCCTGGCCGGCCATTGAGCTTGTTGCCAATGTGCAGACGCACAGCTGACTGCAAAAAGCTCTGGTCATCACTGAGGGTCCATCCTCAGAGCCGAAGTGCTGGTCTCTCACCTGAGAACCCCTTAGAGGGTATCCAACTCCACTTAGCAAGTTGTAGGATTTTAATAGAACGTGCCCAGCAGACTAACAATGCCTCAATTCTACCTACTCTTTGGTGTCCCTGACAAAGTCTGGCACCCAATTTACAACCCGCCTTAACTCAGGGAAATATGAAAATGGAAGAGCTCTTTTTAATAGAGGGCAATAAAACAGGCCATTTTCACTCTGTTATTAATAAGATTCCATACCACATATTTTTAGAATTCTTAGGAGGAATAATTTGGTCTAAGTCCAATGCCTTACTGCTGACTTGCGGACACTATCAAATCTATATAACCCACATGTCTTTCATTACTTCACAATTGTAACTCTTACAGCACTCTTTACTTACGAGAAGAAAGACACACAGACCAGTTAGGACTAGGTAGGTAAGCACACGGGAATGCCCACCTTTCCTCCTTTCCCCATTACGGTCCTTCAATGTAGACTCAGAATACTGAATTCCTAACTTACACTATAGTATAGTTTTGTTTCACATTTAAAGAAAACCAGTTACTCACAAGCTGTAAAGATGTCAAATGCTTTTTCCACCATAAGTACTTCTGGTAGGCCGGTCCCATAGCACACAGTCCATAGTAGGAATACATGACCACATGCACAGCCGTATTTAAAAAGGCATGGAATGTTCCCAAACCACCTGAGAGATAAGAAGTTACCATTTCTCTAATTATAGTAGGAAGAGGAAAACCGCGTAAGAAATATCAACCCTGTGAAGTGAGCCATCAAACATTTAAATGTTCAATAAAACATTTAGTAAAACGCAAACCAGAAATCTTACGAAATAAATTAGCATGTCGCTATTTATTATGCTTTAACCTTAAAATGCTCCTGTGATTTGAGTTTACTCTAAAGAAACCACTAGGATAATCTCTTTAAAACACTATACTACTTAATAAGATTCAAAATGTATTTTTTTAAGTGAAGGTTAACATTTATAAGGTGAACAAATTATCTTAATCTTAAATGTACAAATGGAGATGTTTCACATACTTACAGCCTACTTCTTCCCATAACCACCATCAAAATCAAGACACAGAATACTCAGCCCCACTGAGGCCTCTTTGTGCTGTCCCATGAATACACCCGTCAGCTTCTGTCACCAACCACTAATTTTGCCTGTTAATACATTTCGCATAGGTAGAACCGCACAGCGTGGCCTTTCATTCCTGTCCCCTTTCACACAACACAACAGCATTGCAGGTCTTGCGTGTTGGTGTATACAGCAACAATTCGTCTTTTCCCTCTTCTTTAGCATTATGCCATACGCATGCATCAATATTCACCCATTCCCCCATGGGAGGGCATTTGGGTTGCTTCTAATTTGGGCTCCCATGAGCAACGCTACAGACGGAATCATTGTGTGGAATCAAATTTCTCTTCCACACTCGCAATAAATACTGTGCATTAGATATTTTTAGTACCACAAGCAGTCTGTCAGAAAACCACTGGAAGTCATTAGTAAGCTACACTAAATCTGCTATTATCAATTTCTGCGATTTTGAAATAAATAGCTATTGACAATTAAGCCATCCTTTTAGTCAGACCGTTTCCACTTGATTATGCCTCCCTCTTTTAATTTCACCATCTTTAATTAGGAAGAGAAGCCCCGGACACGAGAATGTAAGAGTCCTTATTTCAGTTGCCTTCAGCTGTAACAGCCCTTGGTGGGAGGGGACAGCAGGGTGCTTAGCTGATGGGAAAGAAAGAAAAACTCCTCTCTGGGATTTCTTTCCTGAGATGGTCAATGCAGAGAAATTTGCATTGTGCATGGTAAAGTTGACCTGGAATTTAAGTTTTTCTTATACAAAAATAAATCATTTCCTTAATTCCAGAAGTCTTCAATTCCAGAAATAACCTAAAACTTGAAACTGATTGTGGTAGAATTGCTAATCAATAGTCACTTTGAATTGTCTGTGGAAAAGCATTATAAAATAGGTGCAAAGTAGATTGAATGACTTTATGTAAATTCATTTATGTGGGGGGGTGTCTATGTATGTGCATGCATGGGCCCAGTTGTGTGTGTGTGTGTGTGTGTGTGTGTGTCTATGTGCATGTCTATGTGCATGTCTATGTGCATGCTTGCAGTTGTATGTGTGTGTGGGGGTGGGTCTATGTATGTGCATGCATGACCCCAGCTGTGTGTGGGGTATCTGTATGTGTGTGCATGCCCTAGTTGTGTGTGTGTATCTGTATATGTGAGCATGCCCCCAGTTATGTGTGTGGGGTATCTGTATGTGTGTGCATGCCCTAGTTTTGTGTGTGTGTGTGTGTTGTATGCCCCCAGTTTTGTGTGTGTGTGTGTGTGTGTGTGTGTGTGTGTGTGTGTATGCATGCCCCCAGTTGTGTGCGGGGGGTTGGGGGAAGGTGCGCATGCCCTCAGCACACATGCGGAGGCCAGAAGATAGTTCTTGGCAGTTGTTTCTCTCCTTGCACCTTGTGGGCTCTCAGAGTCAAAGTCAGGTCATCAGACTTGGCCTTGGAGGCCAGTGACTTTGCCAACTGAGCCATTATTTTAAAATAATTATTCATAATTACAGTAATTCTGAATGTTTCTACATACTGTTATTGCTAAAGTGTTCCCGCCAAAGAACACACTATAAATAAGTAGGTCATATCCGTCCAAAGCCTCATGCTATCCTGTACTTCATAGACTTTAATCCAATTACAATTAATTCCTTAATTGTCACAAATTTCAGGAGCAATACCATTAATGAAGCATGTCACTGTCCTCTCAGCTTTTATTATTTACATTTGGATTAATCTTTCTACCCCAAAAGAAACCTGAATAAATTATAAGGAGGGCACACCCTTTTTAGGGTAACTAGCAAATAGAGTAACTGCCTATTCCTACAATAGCTTAGGAGTCAGGCTGATTCCTGGGAAGGCAAGAGAAGACTGCGCATGTTCATTTGTGTCCAGCAAGAACACGCTCAGGAAGTACAGCTCGCTTTCAGAAGGGCCTGAACGATGCCTTCCTCACTAAGACACCACTCTCTCCATGTTATCCTCATTTAAATCAGTGGTTCTCAACCCCTGAGCATCTGACAGACCTTTCACGGGGGTCACCTAAGACCCCTGCATATCAGATAGTTATAATTCACAACAGTAGCGAAATTACGGTTATGAGGTAGCAACAAAAATATTTTTATGGATTATTTATGAAAGTAATTCCACCACAACATGAGGAACTGTACTAAAGGGTTGCAGCATTAGGAAGGTTGAGAACCATTAAGTTACTAACCTGGGGAGGACCCTGTACAGGGGTTAGCACGAATTAGGGATGAACTAAGAGAGTTAAGCCAAAGAAGGGATGCAGAACAAAACAATCTGCCAAATGAAATTCAACTTGCTTATTTCCCCTAATGATTGCTCTCTGGTTGCTTACTGTAGTAAGGTTCTTCATAAAACCACAACATTTTCATTAGGAATGCTTTTTACTTTTCTCTTTGGAAGGCTTTTCACGTGAAGCTTTCTTCACAAGAGTGGGCCCAAAAAACAAGCATCTCAGAATGAGTTACAATTAATTCCCTCAAATATTACCTCCTTTGGTTTGGAGAAAACAAAAGAGCCACCTGGGTAATTACAATTATTCTCTACATTTCCCAACAGCAGTATTTCCATAACTAATAGAAAAGCCTGCCGTAAAAATATTTTCCTCTTATTCCAAGGGAAATTTGGGTTGCTATTATCCCAGAAGAGAATACAGAAGGCAATAAGAAATCAAACACTAGACAGAGATCATCTGTGTTCCACTATTTGCAAAGATTAGCTCAAATGGACAGACTTGTTCTAGGAACGCAGCTCTGGCCAAATCATACTTCTGGAAACAAAGAGATGTAAGCAAGTTGACTAGAACCCCACACCTAAGTCTAAACAGGACTGCTGGCTCCCAGAACACATCAGAGACACAAAACATTCTCTTTTTACCTTGACTAGTCTACAGGAAATGGGAATTCAGGTATGAGTAAAGACAGTATGATCAAGTGTGCAACATCCATAGACAAAGACCATTTCAAACCTGAGGTCGTTGCTTGAATCTGCGCTTCTTGAAAGTAGTACTGGTTTTGGAATGGAAGCTCGACCATCAACAGATTCAAATGAAGGTGAGGAAATCATTCAGTTTCATTCTTTAGATAAAAAGTATGTTTCCCATAGTGGAATTAGCAGATATTCATAACGGAAAGATTGGAGACCACAGAGAAGGATAGAGAAACCAAGGGGGAACATGTTGGTTTGGGTATCTTCAGATCACCTGTGTGCCTTCCAATTCCTTCCCCTATTTCTTTTTCAGAGTTGTGATTATAGAACAGTTGTTCCTTGGGAGGGAGGTTTCAAAACTCCCTGGTGATGGCCATGTCTGTGGATTTTCAAAGCTCCTTACATAACATGGTGATATACATAAAATGCCTATAACCTGCACACATGCTCCCAAGGCGTTATAACACGAAACCATGTACTAGAGAATAATGACAAGGAAAATATCAGCACATGATTTAGTACCGGAGCAGTTTTTGGTCTTGACCCTATGTTTGGTTGAATTCATGGATGCAGAGCCCACAGATATGGAACCTGAACAACATTCTTGCGTTATGGAGGAGACAGAAATAAGCTAACGGGTGTGAGAACACCTCTATTAGCGTCTTAAAAAGTGAAATAGTCACCGTTGTCCGGTCACTGGCAGTCATGCGGTTAATGGAGAAGACAGCAAGGGTACTCCTGTGCCTTCTTGTCTTTTCATGCCTTTAAGCACACAAGAAATCACAGCCACCCTAGGAGTGGGTACTGAAATCATAGCTACCCTGGGGTTTCCAGTTTTTTTCATTAATGTAATTGAGACATTAGCATCTCACTTAGGAGACCTGAGGGGCCCAGTATGCATTTGAGAGAAAAGAAAAATAAGAAACCGTCAGATGAATTAAATAATAAAGGTTTAAAACTGTGGGTATCTGTGACTTCTTGATGTTAAAAAAAATAGAATAAATAATTCTTGCAGCAAAGCTTGGTAACCTAGAAATATATGAAGACTTTGCTTATTTCAAACTTATGAAAGAATAAAATCACTGCCTACTTTTTCCAATTCTAGATGTTCAGAAAAGGAAACTCAGGCTGTTGGTTTAAACTATCTCTGACTTGAAAACACAAATACAAAACCAAAACGTTGTGTCCTGTGATAGACTGCTTGGGAAACCGAGTAATGTAATTATGCTCTGGCTCATCTTTAATGTTGTTTCTGTACTGTCTGCCACATCTTGGATGTGATTTATTCACAAATGTTCACGTGCCAAAAACTCTGTCCCTGGGCCTGGGTAGCGGGCCCCTTAAGGGGTGGAGCCTAGTGAGAGGGGATCAGGTCAACTATTTCAGATCACAGGTCAGGACTTCCCATGTCTCCTGTTCTGTGTCTTGCCATGACTCCCTGCTCTCATCCTCTGATCTTTTGTGTCCCTCCCCTTCTCTCCCTCTTCCCCTCGCTGGTTCTGCTATGATGCCGTATGTCATATTACGCTGCTACATCTGCCCAGAGACCCCACCTCAGACGCAGGCATCCAAAACCACAAGCTAACCAGGCCTCCTTTCTTCATAGACCAACCAGCCTCCAGTGATCTGCATAGCAACACACAACAGACTAAGATGGGGCGATGTCGCTGTGAGGAATTTGAAGGCAAAGGAAACATAGAACTGGTACATTCTGACTTTCTGTGAACAAATTAGAAATATTATTTAAGTAGATATGGATGGATCCGAGACTTTTAATATTTTAGTCTGTTTGTTTATTGCCTATTTAATAGAAAACATGTAATAGAACTCTAAAAGGAAGCAATAGAACCTACACAAAACTAGAGAGTAGGCACAGAAGGTCTCGCTCAAAAGTCTTCATGTCTGAAGACTTGGAGTGGGCAATCTAATTAAGAGCCCCTGTGCTTGCGATAATTTCAAAGTCAGAAGTTTAACCAAGATGGCTCTTTGATCTTTAGAAGAAATCCTAATCAATTACAGTGAAGGACAGAATCTGTGTTTGTAGCACACGGAAATGCCATTACTTATATGCCACGTGACCCCAGCCAGCCCTCCCTTCCTACCTGCAGCAAATTTGACTCCAAACCACCAGGTCCATGGCATGATTGTATGATGGAAGACATGAAGGAAAGTCACTTGGTTATTTTTCTTACGCAGAACAAAAAAGATCTGAAATAATTTAAAGAAAGTTGAGTTCATAAAAAACCAGGTGATGATTTATCATAGAGTGTTACAAAAGTATTGGTAAAGAGCACACAGTTTCACAATTGGCTTCCTACAGGGGTGCTAACAGGGGTAGCTGGTTCTCCTGGGCGAAGCTCAAAGGCTATGCAGGATGCGCGAACTCGGTAGGAGCGTTAACCAATAAGGTGAGAAAGTTTTATGCAGATTTTAAAACCAAATACACAGTGAAAACTCTGGGCAGAACTTAGTAAAAGAAATGCATTGATTAAAAAAATAAATTAAAAAGAAATCTCATTAAGTTTTGAACTACCTGCAGCCAGAAGTTCAGCCATAATTCCTAGGACTGAGATTATTGCATTCTACATTGCTCTCTGACACATGCTACCAGTGTGGATAAAGAAAATAAAGAGATTGCATTACCAACGAAACACAAACGGTGAGACTCCTGAAGAGTCAATCTGAAAATATCGTGGACAAGAAAGCAAAGCTGCATAAGAAAAACGTGAAGGGCAACGAAGGTGCCATTGCGATTGCGCATGCCCAGTGAGTGGTGGCTTGCTGCTACAAGAAAGGGCAGAGTTGGGGTGGGGTTGTGAGGGGCAAAGAATGCACCAACAGAAACGTTCACAGCCCCAGAGTAAAGTTAGACTTTCACATTCAGGGAATAGCACACAGCTTTACGGTGTCGGGAAAACCGGACAGGGCTCAAGGAGAAAACAAATTCTTAAAGAAAGTTGCCACCGAGAATATGCAAAGTAGAGTCAACAAAGCCAAACGCATTTGCTAATGCACGTGGGAGAACCCAGCCTGCTGCAACCCCAGCCCCCACCCCCGTGGGTCACAAACTTCCCCCAGGGGTCCTACACTCAGAGCTGCCTGTCTGAGTAAGACACTCAACTTCCTGCGTTTTTTTCCCTCCCTATTGAGGGTTCTGAACTAGAGCAATAGTTCCCAAACCTGGCTGCAAGTCACATTATGTTAAAAGATAAATAAAGTTTTGAAACACTCATGTGTACTCTGTACTTCAGACCATCAGGCATCAGATCTCAAGAGGTGGGACCTGTGCGTGGTTTGTTCCGACTGTGTGTCATTGTAAGAGACCTGGATGCTGAGAACCACGTGTCTATGGCAAGCTGCTTCTCAGACAACAGCTGAGACACTCAGAAAAGGGAAATCCCAAGCTCCACCAGGACCCACTAGGCCAGAGGCAATAGGGAGTTCAAGCACGCTTGTGTCTACACACGTTCTCAAGTTTGTTTGTTTGATCTCTTCCTCTCCTTTTCTTTTTGTTTTTGGGGTTTTGGTTTTGGTTTTTTGAGATGGAGTTTCTCTGGATAGCCTTGGCTGTCCTGGAAGTCACTCTGTAGACCAGGCTGGCTTCGAACTCACAGAGATCCACCTGCCTCTGCCCCCCCAAGTGCTGGATTACAGGAGTGGATCACCACCACCTGGCTCCTTTTCTTTTTAAAGAGAGCATGTTGTTATGCAGCCCAAGTTGGGCTCAAACGTGTGGTCCCGCCTCAGCCCCCAGAGCACAGGGATTCCTCTAGGTGACTTGAATGTTCTAAAGCTTCAGAAGCCCTGGGTTGTAAATGCCCCAAAGTCCCTCCTCAACCTACTGTTTTATGATTAGTTAAACAAGTGTTAACACTTCAGACAGTGTGGTGGTGTGTGTTCCAGACACACTTGTCAGTAAAAGCAGCACAGCTTTCCAATGCTAGCAGGAAACTAAAGCTCCTGGCTTTCACCTTTCAGAGCACCTAACCCCTGAGCCCCAGTCTCTCAAGGTCCAGAGCTGACCCTCACTAGGACCCAAAGCAGGGAGAACTGGAGCCCAGCAAGCTCAGGTTTCAGAACAGCAGCTGGAGATAGTGCTCATATTTCTCAAATTGCTGACACCCCATGGATAACATCACGTTTTGCTGTGAGTTTACGAACTGTGATGCTTGCGTGTCTTAGGGAGCATGGCTGACCCTGGGTCCTAGTATAAGGTAACTTGGTCCCTGCTCTTTGCTTTGTGAACTGCTTCATAAAGAACTGCCATCACGGGGAGGACGGGAGGGCGCGGGAACTGGGATTGGCAAGTAAAACAAGCTTGCTTCAAATTCAAATGTAAAAAATTATTTATAAAATTAATTAATTAAAAAAAAAGAACTGTCATCACCCACACCAAGGAGCACAGTCTTCCAGAGTAAGTGGCAGTTACCTGTTTTCATAACTAGGATATATATACATATATACATATATATGTGTGCGTGTGTGTATATATATATATGATATGTATATGTATGGTGTATGTATATGTATGATATGTATATGTATACATATATATGTGTGTATATATATGATATGTATATGTATATGTATGATGTATGCATATGTATGTATATGTATACATGCATATATATGTGTATATATATGATAATATTGCCAGGTAAAAACCTACACATTTTTAAAACTGCAGCTAGAGGTTGTGAAATGCTGGAAAGTGAGCTTTCTAAACGCACAGATAATTAAAGGAAAAAGGGAAAACAATAGGCAAAGCAAGGGAGGAGAGATAAGCAAAAGCACGTGATAACTAGGCCAGCAGTTCAATAAGACATCAAACAGTTGCTAGATGTGTGGGCCACATACTCACAGTGTCTAACAGCTCAATAAATTTGGAGAAGTAATAAAGCCAGCAGGTGTGCACCATCTGTGGGAATATACACAGATAAGGTTTGTTTATTCAGTACTTTATACGGAAGAAACATTTACTATAAAAAATAGTTTTAGAAGCACATAACAAAATATGCCATCCTAGGTGATTATTTTTTTAAGGTATGCTCTGGTGGCTTTGATTTCATTTCTATCCCTCAACAACCATTACATGTTCATCCAGAGAACTCCTTCATGCTGAAAAGGTGAAACCATACTCACTCAGAAATATTCCCCATTCCCCTCTTCTCTCCAGCCCAGCCAGCCATCGTTCTACCCTCTGTCCTATGCATTTGACTACTTCAGGTACCTCATATAAACTGGACCATACAGCATTTGTCCTTTCATGACTGGAACATATTAGCACACTGTCCTCAAGATCCACACAAGTTGTAGCTTTCACAGCCTGAATAATATTCTATTCTCTTCCTGTGTGTCTTTGTGTGTGTGTGTGTGTTTATATATGTGTGTGTCTGTGTATCTGTGTGTGTGTGTGTGTCAATATGTATGCCTGTATGTGTGTGTGTCTATGTGTTTATCTATGTATTGCTGTGTGTATTTCTGTGTGTATGTGTGTTTATGTGTGTGTATCCGTGTGTGAGACATTGTGTTTAGCCATTAGCCACTCATGGAAACTTAGATTGTTTCTATATGTTGGTCGTCGTGAGTAATGGTATTGTGGTCATGTGTATACAGATGCCTGCTTGAGTTCCTGACTTCAACCACTTTAGGAATATCGACAGACATGGAATTGCTAGAGCTTATGAAAATTCTACTTCTCAACTTTCAGAAATCAGGTAAGGTTTGAAAACCAAGACATTTAGACAGCACTAACTGCCATTTTGTAGAATTTATACACCAGACTTCCTTTAATTCTTCCTTATAATTTTGGCTTTTTTCTCAGTTTCTATAATCTGATAATAGACTCATTCGCTTGTTCTGAATTCATATCCAATAGTGCAGAGTCCAAACGATTTTCACAGTGATTTTGAACAACAGAGTTCCCCAAAGAAGAACTTACTCTCATTGCTCTTGGTGACTGAGAATAGTCAACAATGTCACATCGAAACGAATAACCTGTACCCCAGCCAGACATCACAAACTGGAAGAGAAACAGGCATATTAGGGAGGAAGAAACTTGCTAACAGTCACAACAAAGGCGGTTTGACTACACCTTTGTTGCATGACCAGCTGAGTAAGCACGCAGTGCAGGGGAACGGGCAGCCAGAACCAAGACAAACTAAACACCCTTCGGGGGGAAGCTTGGTATCGGGCGCTCTCAAAGCCACAAATGCACAGGCCATTTAAAAGAACCGTAATCTGACTAATTTCTCCATTTCTTGGGAGGATTCCTTTAAAACAGTGAAGGACAAAACCCAGGGAGCATTTTGCTTAATTAGCAAATATTTTCTATGTCCACTATGTGTATGTGCTCGTGGACTTTTAAAGGGGGAGTGCCTGGCTCTGAGTCCGTTTCTTCTGGACGTTTCAAATCCTCCCAATTAATCAGTAAGTGTTAAACAAACAGAAACCTGGCCACGTGCCTAAAGGGTGACCATGGCCACTGAGCTTTTCCTGCTCATGGCAGGCAAGTACACTACTAAGTGGCAGTACCTAGCTCTGGTACCCTCTCTTCCTTATCGCAAAAACTGACTGTACACGGGCCTGATGCCAGGTACACTTTGAATTCACAAAACAAATAAGGGGAGACAATGCTCTCGTTCCTAACTGGAGTGTATGTAGTCTGGCAGATGGTCATTCCAACACACCCACAAAATGACCTTCTAGTGTTGTTAAAAATAAAAGCCTATTGTCGGTAAGTCTGAATTGTAATTCAAAGATCATGCTGACATTCTTTTAGTTTGTTGGTGGGATGAGCTTTTAAAACAGTAGCTACAAAAGGAAGCCAATTACTTGATTTTAAATCATGCATACATGTAATAGTTGGACTGATCTGGGTTAGAGCAAAAAAAAAAAAAAAAAAAAAAAACAAAACTTTTTTTTTTTCCCCCCGTGTTGTTTTTTCACTCTGCATCTGGCCTGGAACATCTTCTCTCTCACTGTCTCACTGTAAGGGTTATGGCACTTTTGGCTCCTGGAGCATATTTTATGTTTATAGTCTCGTCACTACTTTAGTTAAAATGATAAAAACTTCTCAATATAAAAACATACACTTAAAGGCTTTCCTGAAGCCTGGGCGTGTTTAGTTTTTGAAACTGGGTTTTGCTATGTAGCCCAGGCTGGACCTCAAACTTAAGACTCAGACTGTTGTCTCAGCCTCCCAGGATATCAGACATCAGCCAGGGTGACATTTTAGTATGCAAAGAGAAGAGGAAAGTGGGAAGAACAAATCCAACAAATGCATTCCCCTTCCCTATGCTCACACCTACCCCGGAGTATAGATAAGCATTGGAAATGAGACCTTGAACATTTAGACTCAGAAAAGCATAGGGTATGCAACTCATGGGTTTAAGAATGCCTTAAAAATCAAGTCAGCAGATCTTTTCAAAGTAACAAAGGGATGTGGCAGAAACAGTAAATTCTGTTTCTCAAAACGGAACAATGCCATTTCTTCCACGCTTAGACTCATTACAACTTATATGAGTGGCACTCTACCCCAGTGGTCCTCATCCTGTGGGTCCAGATGCCTTTGGGGGATAGAATGACATTTTCGCAGGAGTTACCTATCAGATATTCACATTATGACTCATAACAGGAACAAAATTACAGTTATGAAGTAGCAGGGAAATAATTTTATGGTTGGGGGTCACCTCATCACAAGGAACTAACTGTATTAGCGGGTTGCAGGGTTAGGAAGGTTGAGAAACACTGCTCATTCCTGCAGCTATTGACTTACACTAGCTGTCTAGCTCTCCCCGTATCCTACCACAAACAAGAGCTGTAGTAAATGAGAGAGGCTATGTGTCTTGGCCCTCTGTGGCTCCCACCTGCTCCCTCCCTCCCTCCCGTCTTATTTGTTCCAGGTTAGCACGCTGTCACCAGAAGACAGCCGAATTTCTCCAGTTCGGCATGGTTCTCTCTCTCCTTGCTCATATTTGGCTAAACATGCCCGGCAGAGGCATTAACTGAAAACCTGACAAAATCTTGCTCCACATCGTACACACGTTGACAGTGTCATGCTACTGTCAACAGAGAGCACACATCCTAGTTAAAGTTAAAGGTCTCTTCAAACCGAGTGGATCTCACATTTTCCTGATTCTGAGTTTAAGGACACACCAATAGCCTCTGACAGTTTTGACAGTTACACCTCTATTCTAGGCTAGCAAAGAAAAAGTTAATGGCTTATGTTCAGCAGGCAGTTAAGTCCCGAAACTGTGACTCAAGTGTAAGTGAAGATAAAAGACCTCTCTGATTCTGATATTTTTTTAACCTTCTTCTATGTTGTAATTGATGAAGCAGGAATCAAAAGTGACTGATTACTACTGGATTTTTTCAAGCCTGAGAAATGCAATGCATTTCATCACAAACAGTGGCACTGTCAAACACAGAACCTGAGAATACTAGAACATTCTGGTACCTGAGAGGAAAACTACTTCAATCCTGTCATTACAACGTAAGAGACCTGCGGCCCAGTGAATAGGAAACATGGCGGGGGTGGGAATGGGCTCCTAGCTTCCCAGCACGCTCTTGACCCCTCTCCGAGAGCACGTGAGCAGCCTGTTCATAGTCCAGAAAGGCCAGGAGAGGGGTAGTGGTCTGTGGGGAAGAGGTAGAAACAGAGAAGGACAAGCAGCAGATGGAGCCAGACTTGAGAGTGGCCTGTGGAGAAAAGGTGAGCAGAGACTTGAGGTGATCTGCTCAGGTCATTCATAGCAGCAGTGAGACAGGTTACGGAGGCCAGCGAGGTCAGCAAAGCTCCTCACAGACCCCCAAGTACGAGCAAGCACAAGGTGTGCTAGAAAGAAAATAAACAGAAGAGAGACAGACAGGGCTGGAAATGCACCAAAGAGCCCTAGGGAGGCAGGTATGTGAGGGCAGCTGACACACGTGAACAGCAAACGGGCAGGGAGCAAATCCACAACCTGTCCTGAGCTCTGGAAGATTCCTATTTCTCTTAGAACAAGGGGCAGAGCTTTATGACCTATGACTCCGTATAAGTCATGTTCTCTTTTGCTGCGAAGCCTCTAAAACCTAGACAGATGGCCACTGTAGAGCTTATCATAGCACAGAGGAACCACAATCCCCACCGTGATGGGACAGACTGGTACAAAGACATGACCAGCTCTGGAGACGGCTGGACCTGCGTTCCAGGACTGGACCTCCATTTGCCAGCTATCACTCTGAGCTCATTAATTATTTTCTCTGTGTATGAGTTTCCTCAAAACTAACATTTATCATGTGCAATTCTCTGGGCTAAATGTCATTCCCCCCCCCCCCATTATCCATGATGAAAACTGTCCTGAGATCCTTGGGTTTATTGTTTTATATGGACATGACCATTTTGGTGTTTTTGTTGTTGTAAACACCTGCTTAGTTTCTAAATCCATCGATTATAAGAAGAAAAAAAAGGGGGGGTGCCCCATAGTCATAACAAAAACATACTGACATATACACAAAAGACTCAGGCAATCTTTTCCCCATTAGGAATACTGAAGACACTTGCCTCATAACACATATACACAGAAAACAGTACTATGAAAAAATTGTACGTTATCATCGCTTTCCTGAGTTCAAAGGGCTTCCGATTCTCCATGAGCTTTGGTCCCAGAGATGTGACAAAATAGACATAGAGCCCCAGGATGACGGTTTGTGGCAGAGGCGAGGACATGAGGGGCCAGTCTTCCACTCTTGGATCTAAGAGAAAGATAACAACTGTAAGTGCACAGCCACTTAACCCACAGATAACACAGGGCACCACTAAACAATCAGGAGCATCCTTTGGGAGAGTGACGGAGGGATCCCTAGGAACAGCGAGGCTGTCGTCACCGGAGCCTCCCTCTGGATGGACTGTGCCTGTGGACTGAGATGCAGCATCCTCTAGGAGCCATGTGTTAAGCCTGGGACATCGCTGCACACATATAATCCCAGCACTTGGGAAATGGAGACAGGAGAATCAGAAGTTCAAAGTCATCCACAGCTACACATCACATTTGAGGGCAATCTCGAAAAATAAACAAAACCCATGTGTTGAAATCTTAGCCCCTAATGTTTTTTAAGCAAGAGCCTTTCACCAATAGAGTTAGTGTCATAAAAGGGACCCTGAGAAGCTCTTTGCTTTCTGCCACATAATGACACAAAGCAAGACAACGGAAACTCAGGAGAGCCCTCAGCAGAGCCCCGAAGTACTGACATGCTGGTCTCAGACACATAATTTCTCCAAGATCTAAGCAGTGGGTGGAGGCAGATCTGGAGAGATGTCCTACCATCCATGACCACTATCAACATTCAGAGATTTCCGTCCTATGTGGGCATGGTGGGTACTCCTGTACTGACAGCACTTGGAAGTGGAGGGAAGAGATCAGAAGTTCAAGGCCAGCCTGGGATAAATGAGATCCCCATCTCAAAAAAAAAAAAAAAAAAAACAAAAAAAAAAAAAAAAAACAAAAAAACAAAAAAACAAAAACAAAAGCTTTTCCATTTACATAGTCTTTTACATTTAAAAATGTTTGTATTTGCTGTTCGTTCGTTCTCTTGGCTTCCTGAGAAAACTGCCATACTTCCCCAGATAGAACCACAAAACCTAATCGTCTAGAGTGTATGCCCTCGATGTCCAAAGTGTGAGGCAGTAAGTTTGATATTTTGAAATAAAATAGGTAATGACCTTACACCACATAAACATCGGTTCACCCAGTTCATGCTGGCTTAGGGCGATCGGGATTGTGGCATTTGAAAGTTGCAATTAAAAACAAACTGTGATCCGTTCTATCATTTCAAGCACTCAGGGTGTAATTTGACCAAGTGACCTCATGAAGCCAGAGTAGTATGGAGGAAAATAACCGTGGGCAGCTTCCAGGAGCATCTGACTCAGCTCAGATGGAGCATCACAGCCACCACCGTGAAAGAGGATTTGGAGCACACATCCCTGTTCATCTACATCACTAATGAGAGCCAGTTACCAGCAAAGCTTAGCACCCCTGTAGATCTGACTTTTCATCCCAAACTTCTTCACTAGAACCCCACGACCTGTCCACTCAACCAGCCTTGCTTTTAGTGTTAGAGATGTTCCATGCAATAGTTGAATGTCCGGAGCTGTAGCTTATCCTGTCTTCAAGTGGGCCTCACCCAAAAATGCCAGCAGATACCAATGTCTCAGACAAGCAAAGTAAGCTGAGGAGTAAACCAGCTCAGAAACCAATGCCAGATGTTTAGAATTTGACCATCTTCTTATCTGGACCCAGGTTCAATTCCCAGCACCCACAAAGCAGCCCACAACCATCTATAACTCCAATAAATTCTTCTCCAGCCTTGTAACAATGGTTAAGTTTCCCATGACAGGATTTCTGGTCATCACTGGGAATCACAGTGTGGACCTGAACACTACAAAGAGGGTGTTTCAGTAAATAAAGTTTGTTTATATTACTGGGAATCAAGGTACAGAATTAGAACTAATCAGCTTTAAATGAATTCCTTCCCATGCTGGTCCATGTAAACCTTACTATATGGATGTCATAGAGCCAATGTCTAGCTTTTATTCTTTTATTAATATGTCTAGCTTTTATTCATAATAAAATAAAGACTACTGAAATCAGCACTAAAGGAAGCACCCTTGTGGGCTTCAGTAGCCTCTAACAGCTTGGCTACAATAAGGGAGACCTCTGGTTTCTTCATCATAGGCAACTGAAAACATTTCTGTTGTTGTTAATCATCTCCAAATACGATTTTAAAACAAAAAAGTTCTAAGTGTCAGTAAAGGCACTTCTTGACCAGAGGTATCTTTTGTTTCCTTCTTTCACTGACTTGGCAGGGGAACAAAAATCAAATGACATCACTCTCCTCTGTTAGCAACAGAAAGAAAAGCAGCCAAGGAAAGCATGCCAGGCTAGCTCGGGAAGACCAAGAAAATCATTTCAAAATAAATCTGTTCTTCCTGTGATTTAACTTTTTCAGCACACACCTTTTCTTGAAATCCTGTAGACTTTCAAGTACTACAAATAAAAAGTTATTGTGGGAAAAGCTTGTTTATTTCATTCTATGTTATTTTCAAAAAAGATAATAAAATAACAACAACAAAAAAATTAATGTATGTTTGTGTGTACAAAGGATCCTGCATTTCTGTGAGGAGTCCAGAGGTCAACCTTGGGGTCATTCATGAGAAATGAGCCACTTGTGTTTTTCTTTTTCTGTGATCTGGCCAGGCAGGTAAGCACCAGGGATCCCAGAGCTGGGATTCTAAGCGTGGGCCACCATCCCAAGCTTTGTACAAGGGCATCAGGATTGAACTTAGGTCTTTATGGTCCCATGACACACAATTTACTCACTGAATTATCTCCTTATTCACTGTTTTTACACTAGGCTTTAAAATTTGAACTAAGGCTAAATTCTAAAGGCAGACAGTGAGCATTTCGATCCTGTTCTTCCCTCTGGCCCTTTATTTCACAGAGGACTAGGTGAGGAGTTTGCAAAGACTTAAGTACTCAATAAGCTTGCTATTGTCGTTGCAGTAGATCTCAAATCCATAATCACAGCAGAATCACCTCTGCAGCATTAAACAAACAAACAAACAAAACAACACTAACAACAACAAGAAAAAACAGCTTAACCCAACTGACTTAGAATCCTAAGGGGTAGTAGGTACCAGGCATGTAAGCTTTTAAAATTCAGCCATTTAAAAAAAAAAAAAGGCAAAGGACTTAATTTCTCAAAAGAAAACACACTGTGGTCAACGAAGTGTGCAATATCACTAATGATCAGGAAACTACAGATCAATACCAGAGTATGAAGTCACTTACCACTTGTAGGGCTGCACCATCAAACAAACAGAAGACCACAAGTGTGGCTCCAAACGTGGAGGAAGAGAAGCCCTGTGTGCTGGTCGTGAGACTGGAAGTCCCCACGAAAGCCACCTGAGACCGCTTGCCAAGGACACGGCTGTCAAACCCACAGCAGGGTTAATCACAATAGCCAAGGAGTGGATCTACCCAGGGGTTCCTCGTCAGAGGAATACGGAGAGCAGTCTAAGTGGGACACCATTTGGTCTCTCAGAAGAAGGAAACCATGTCCTCTGCAAACCTTTGGTGAGCAGGACAATACTCTGTTGCGCTAACTGAAATAAGCCAGATTCAGAAAGCAACACACAGCCTCATACGGGAAATAAAGGAAGTTAAGAGTCTGGGTAGACAAGAGGGGGAGACAGACAGAGAGACAGAGAGAGAAAGAGAGAGAGAGAGAGAGAGGAGAGAGAGGAGAGAGAGAGAGGAGAGGTGTTGGGAAATGGGTACAAACTTTAACTTAGGCAGAATAACATCTATTTATTTATTTATTTATTTATTTATTTATTTATGGTTTTTTTAGACAGGGTTTCTCTGTGTAGCTTTGGAGCCTGTCCTGGAACTCACTGACCATGCTCACTTTGAACTCACAGATATCCACCTGCCAGCAGAATAACTTTTTTGAGGTCGATTATAGGGGTACATTGAGATGACCATGATGAACTATCCAAATTGAGAAATCGCGATTCTGGTGTGTAGTCAAGTTTCCTTGAGCCACATGCCAGGCTGCAAGGTCCCTCATCTGTGACAATCCTTTCTGCTCTGCTTAGATTATTCTCTTACTTAAATGAGCTCTCCCTCACTGATCACATAAAGCTCACAGCTTTGGCACAAGGTGTAGGGCTCTGGCCATTGCCCCTGTCTCCTGCCTCTCTCAGCTGTAGCCTACCTTCCTGAAAAGGGAGACAGTCCACTTCCGTGTGAAGAGTGGGCTTTTCCTTTGACGTGCTTGGGATGACAACTTGACACAGAGACTGCACAGCTGGCACAATGACATTTAAGGTTAATTCTGACTCCGTCTAAGGATGCAGTCAGGGGTAAGTGTTCCCAGTTTTCCTTAGGGATAGAGGCTAAGGAGGGAGTGACCGTGCTGTGTGTGTCATGTACTTGGCATCCGAGCTGATGTAAGTGTCCAGAGAAGAGCCCAGATGAAAGCAAAGGCTGGCCAAGCAGGCTGTGTGGTTGGCTACACCCGAGAGTCCACCACAGTGCTGAATTACCACGAGCTTAGTAATTGTTTTCTAAGAGTTCCCCGGAGAGAAGGGGTACAGGGAAAGTACAATGCTGGATACACAGAGTATGAAGGAGTCTTTCCACCAACTATTTATAGGACAGTACTCTTAAGCATCACATACTGCTTCAAAGAGGACACGTTTTAAAATTCTAAGTACCAGCAGAAAGAAGAAACTAGAAGGAAAGGGAGACTTGTTCCCATGAACAAGAGTTCAGAGAGGCAGCAGACCTACTCATCCTCCACCTTCTTGCGAAGCAAACTCAATACTATCTGAAAGCAAGCAGCTTTTTTGTTTCTTCTGAGATCAAAATGCTGCCAGAGTATGGTTTTTAAACCTAACATTCCACATCAAAGAATTGTAATAAACTCTCTTCTACCTCACTCAGTAAGCTACCTAAGACTTTTGTGGTCATGGAATTGTCCACATGGAATAACTATGCGTGACCACTACTTCTCCAGCAATCAGAAAAGCTCATAACAGTAAGTTTTCCCAAGGCCACACAGGATTAGGGCCAAAGCCAAGACTCCACTTGCAATTCTCGGCTCTTGATCATGGATTCAGCCCTCCCTGGGGTATGAAAAGCAAAACTAATGCCACTCCAGATCAATACCACACTCTACACTAAATACAAGAAGAACTCTCCTGCTGTACTGGACAGCCTTTTTATAAAGTTGTAAGCCTTAATACAAATCCTTTTAACTCTGCTAGATCTTGACAAGAAGAAAGAGAAGACTCAAGTGATTTGTTAGAGAGTCTCTAAGGTCATCTGTAACATCTCAGTCTATCTGTGTGGGGACACTTGCCCAGTAACGGCACTTTCACGCATCTCATGCAGAACCTGACAGGTGCTGTTCGCACTTTAGTTTTACTCACAAAAAGAAAAATAGCATAGTTTGTTCAAGGTCACCCAGTTGGCCTAGGACACAGAGGGGCCTGAGTTCCGGCTCTTAGCTTTCCACATCCGTGGCCTCTCCTCTCTAAGACTTCAAATGAGTATTAGAGTCTGAGCAGTGAGATTTCCCTTCTGGGTGCCTCTCTCTCCTCTCTGGTCTTGCCTGCTCCGTTTTGCATAAATTCTCCTCAGTCCTTATTCTTAACCACCTATGATCCCTTTCCCTGACGGAAGCACTCCTAACATAAAGTGAAGAGTTGTTCCGTGATAAACGTGGAAGCATCGTTCTGACGTAGTTTATATTAAAATAGTTTGTACTTGTAGGGTCACGTGATTTAGTCTCCACCATCTGAGTCCACTTGCCTCTTGAGTTAAGAAAAAGGATGAGCTAAATTTCTTAGGTCCTTACATTGAGGATAGTGAAGAATCAGATTTGGATTGAGCAGGATCTGTTCTTGCAAATAACTCTATTAAAAAAAAAAAAAAACTGTCCCCAGGGCTGGTGAGATTACTCAGTAGGTGAAGTGCTGGCTGGGCAAGTCTAAAGACCCAAGTTCCATCCCTAGAAGTCATATAAAAGTGTGCAGAGAGAACCAGCTACACGAAGTTGGCCTCTGGCTTCCACATGTACACTGTGGCACATAAATACATGCAGTAACTTTTTAAATTATACCTAGATCTACTTGGGCTCCAAGTTCAAATAGTGAGAATGGAGCAAGCAATGTCCATCTCTCCTTTGAAATATAAACGGAAAATTAAATTATATTAAATATTGAATTTGTAGCAATCACTATAAATCATCAGAGAAAGGTGGCCTCTAACGAAACTGGTGCATTTACCCGAACCAAGTAAGTTGAAACTTTCAGGAAAAAGATAAGAAAATAGAGAAACAGCTATTCTATTAGCCCTAAAAGAGTAGAGCTCATTCTTGAGGGAAACATTAGAGATGTAACATTGTCCTTTAGCAGCCTGGGGAGAACGATGTGGCCCATGAAACAGTGTCTTTGCTGAAATCGCTGTAAACCAGGATGTATTTTCACCTCTGATAGGTATTTGATGAACTTGTAGTTTCTGGTCAATGAGTGAGTCACTCCAAAGTGATTTCAGGTGTGACAATGTATAACTTAACAACTACAAAATAATGAAATGCCAGAAGAGTAATCATAATAAGAAAGCACCAGTTCTAGGGTTGTTTTTCTCTTTCTGTATCCATTCACAGTGACTTTGAGGAGGCCACATCTCTGGGTTTCAATTGTTTCAGCTCTAAAATGAGACATTGGGTTGGATGATGTCGCGGGTCTGCGTAAGTTCTAAGGCATCCTGATTCCTTTTATCTTAGGAACTTTTGTACCTTTGATTTTGTTTTTTAGGACTTTAATAGTTTTAAAACAATACTACGTTGGCTGGGGTTTGAAAACCCGCTGACAGATGAATAAAGAGCAGTTCCTTATGAGACTGGGTGTAGCTCAGTTGTAGAGCACACACTCGGCAGCTGCAAATGTGTGACCCTGACCTCAGTCCACTATCCAGCAGCAGATTCACTGCTAGCTACCCCAACCATCATCCATCACTTAGGAGTGGTCCAGCTTTCCACCAAAGAAACACACCAGGTGCTTCATGCATGCCTTCCATTTGCACATTTTAAACTCCAGTGACACTGAATGTTCCAAAAGGCCACTTTTATTTTTAATACTCGATGCTCTTTCTCCACTACCTCTCAGGGCAGGGGCGGTCCTTTCATTCGTAAACAAGCATGACCGAACTTCTGTTGGCAGAGTCTGATTCCCCTCTAGAACATTAGAGTACTGACCCTCCAAAACACTTTCTAAGGGCTACTGGGTTCAGATGTGCCATCAAATATCGCCCAGCTCTCTCCCGCAGATAGTCAGGGTGTTTTCAATATTATGAACGCCATCGCGAATATATATGCAGCTTTAGCTGGTGATGAAACCATGAAACCCTGGATACCATTTCTTGGTTAACTAGTAATAAAGGAGGATGAAGTTGTCAAGTCTCTTATTTTATTCCAAATAAATCCTATTAGTGTGGGAATTTGACATAATAGTGTGGGAATTTGACATAAAAAGGAGAGATGAACTTCAATTAGGAAATCTCATTACTCACCAGCATCTTTGATCCAATTATCGTAAAAACGCACAGTCCTCGATGTCAGATCGCTGAACGCCATTTTCTACAAGGTTAGATGGCTCTTTTAATGGACTCTTCAGTGAAACAAGGCAGAAATGAGCTTGGATCTATAAATGCAAATAAAAATAAGCTTTTAGTAATACAATATTTAAAATGCTAAAACTTTAATAGGAACTGGCAGGGTAACAAATTCTTTCTGAAGGGAAGATGCATTAGTGAACCAGAGAAAACGCTGATGCAGTCACAACACTTGAGATTTTCCATTCTTCTTGAGTGACTGACTGGCAGTCTCACCGAAGAAGGCTGGAGCTTCATGGGTGTCACACAGAAGGAAGACGTGATACTAGGAACTCTTATGGGAAGATCTCCCTTTTATGAAGAAAATGCAGGTCGAGGGTAGGCTGTATCACCACCGCAAGGCTGCACAGAATGCCCAGGATGGGAAGAGACCCAGACTTTCAGAGATGTTTGCTGACCCAGGCCTTGGAGCCACCGTCGGGCCCAATTTGTGTTAAGTTTTGAAAATATTTTATTATTTTTAACTATACATACATGTATGTGTGCATGTGTGTGCACGCATGCATGTGCTACATATGTATGGGCCTCAATGGACGCAGAGAATTGAATCCCTTGCATCCGGAGTTATGGCAGTTGTGTGCCACCCGACATGGGTGCTAGGGACTGAACTCAGGCTTCTCCGAAAGCAGTGCACTCACAAGCACTGAGCCAGCTCTCCAGTCCCTTAAGTTTTTAAAATATAGGAGCTCCCAGTACTCCTACAGTATTTGACTAAATCATTAAAATGACACCTGCAGAATGAGTCAGAAAGAGGGAGACAAGAAGAACCACAGAAAGTTGCTCCGCGATTTCAAACAGGTAGGCGAGTGTTATGGAAAAGAGAGCTCTCCCAAAGAAGAAAGCTGGCCCCGCTATGAATCACGAGACCCAATCCATTGTTTGACCTGCCAATACCAGGCTGTTTTCAGAACTATAGCTCTGTAGTAGAGCTTGAAGTCAGGCATGGTGATGCCTCCTGAAGTTCCTTTGCTGCACAGGGTTATTTTGACTATCCTGGGCCTGTTGTTTTTCCATATAAAGTTGAATATTATCCTTTCAAGGTCAGTGAAGAATTGTGCTGGGATTTTGACATGGATTGCACTGAATCTGTAGATTGCTTTTGGCCAATTTTACTATGTCTATCCTACCTATCCAAGAGCATGGGAGATCCTTCCATTTCCATCCCCAACCACTCAAGCAGTAAGGCATTGATTGACACATAGACAAATTAATGGAACACCGAGAAATATGTCAGATACATTTGAGAATTTAAAAAGGTGTATCAGTAATCCTGAGAGGTATGCTTCCCCCCACCCCACCCCCCGCACTTTAAGATCTCTGAAATTAAAGTACAACTTACAAATGGCAGGTGTGTCATGAACTAATGGAGAGTGAATCAAAGCCATATGGCAAGAAGATTGGAAATGTTCTAGAGGTGGGTCATACAACAATGTAAATGTGCTCAATGCTATTGAACTTGGTTGAAAAGGTAAATTTTCCATGACACACGTTTTGTTATTGTAACAAAAGAAATCCTCTAAGTTTACTGAGGGAAAGCTGACTTTCTCCTGGCATTATAAAACAAAGTTTTTTTCATCTGTATGACTACAGGAATAAAATAAGGCATGTAGCATGCTGATATACATGACCTCTCAAACCAGTGGGCAGTAGATTACTAATAGTCACTCAACAAATGGCATGATACAGTTAGATAGCATCAGGGGACCAAACAGCTGCAACAAAAAGTTCCCTGAACCCAACATTATCAGACAACTCCAGACGGTTGCAAACTCTACATGACAACCCTGAAAACGCATAACTTTGTCACAGGAGAGGCCCTCCTCCTAAGGTTTAAACTTTCAGAAGGCAAAAGAGGCTAACAAGTTAGCTATCGAAACCAAGGAAACGAAAACGCACTGCTAGCACAGAGGGGTGTGGAGGACACAGAGGTGATGGATGCAAGCCAGGCCGGGCTGTTGAGAAAGGATGGGAGGCGGCGGCAGTCGGAACAGGGCAGTGGGTGGGAAAGGCCTTCCCACTTCCAGGTGAGAGCATTGCAACAGACCCTGTCTGCATTCAGATGGAATCTCTGTCCCCACCGCCTTGGCAAGGGAGAGCCTCTGGATGGCTTTGAGGGAATTTTCCACACAGATGTTAATCTGTGTGTTTTGTGTGTTCCACTGTTGACTGGAAACAAGTTTCCCCCTCTGCTTCGGCATAAACAAAACTCCAAAGAATTCTATACAGAAAAGATCTGGGGGCTTCAGTGTGCTCCTTCCCAAAGATTTGGGAAGATCAGAAACTTAGAGTGTGTGTGGTGCCTATAACAGGTCCTGACACATTAAAACAGGATTTCTCAAACTTGACCGTACTGACATTTAGGTCAAACACTTCTTAGCCATCGAGACCTACCCTGAGCAATGTGAGCTATGTGAGACAACCTGGCTTGACAATCTATCTACTAGACACAAGGTACCCCTGCTTTATGGCTGAGACAACCAAACACATGGGTAGCAATTATCAAATGTTCCCTGGTGGGCAAAAATGTCCAAAGGTTAAAGTATTCATCCAGATCACCATCTAGCTCTCTGTCACCAGACCAAGCAGCTTGCCTCGGAGTAAGCGCTTGGCAGACACGCACTTATCTTAGTGGGTAGTTGTTCAAAAGAGTAAATGAGTTTTTCCAGAAATTTATTTAAATGCCCTAATGGGGAGAAATTTTTTGTCTACTTTCAAATTCAAATCCATACAAAATTAATAATTTTTTAAAATTAACAGACCAAGCTGGGCCATGCCGCTATGGGGGGGGGAGGTAAAGGTAGGCGGGGGGGGGGGAGGTAAAGGTGGGAGGGTGGGACTGAACATGGTGGAGGAGGAGCTTAACACTGACACAGTCCGTCTTTTCTAGTCTTTAAGGCTATAGCAATATTTACCAGAATGCCTATCACCTAGATGCTATTTTTGAGGTAATATATTTCACCAAATGTTTAAATTATTTTGTCTTTACAATCCATTATAAACTTCAACTAAAAGCAAATTAGTCCAGAAAGGAAAGAATAGACCCTGTGAAAAATGATTTCAAATGTTCAAAGTGATTAATTAGCAGAAAAGCACATTGTGATGATATGTATACACTTATTTATACATGTGGCCTACACATACACTAGCAAAACTATGTGCTCATTATACTTTGTCACATTTGCTCATAGTATTCATATTTCTCCTCAGTAATATTCTTATCAACTTCCCTCCCATTTTTTGTCATTTATTCAGTAGATTAGGCATGCACACTGCCTTGGAAATAAAACAGCAAAGCAGAAAGCCAAGAAAAAAAAATAGCTTTATCCTACCTTTTGAGGTATAAAATTGTATATACACTTAGTCAAACTGAAGCAGCAAAGGCATAGTCAAGAAGCTTCTGTGTCTCCTAAAACAGACATGTATGCTTCAGGCTACGAGCAAGAAGATCCCAAAGAGGTACCAGTAAGATGAACTGGAACTCAGAGCATGGGGGTCAGACACTATTGCCCAGGTAGAGGTGCGGTAAGTGGTTCGGGGCCACAGGTGGTCGTAGAGTTCCTTTTGGTCTAGTGTGCTGTTGGAGCAGTAGAAATCCCTCTGAGTACCTTCACTAGGTGAAAGAGTACTGCAGAAGGGCTGCAGACAACGAAGAAGCAATACATACAGAAATAACGTATTGTCACTTTCTGGACCTGCAACCACTTGATGGGCCCTGGATGTGTTAGGGGACAGTTAGGTAGACAAAAAGCCTGGAAAACTAAAAAGTGCCTCACTAAAGGGAGTGGCCAGCTGGCTAAGTGGGTCAGAGTATGGTGTTAGTAAAATGTGTTTACAATTATTTTATTACTTTATTTTATATGTATGGTGCTTTGTCTGCATTTATGTCTATGTACCAGAGTATATGCCCAGTGTTCATGAAGGCCAGACAAGGGTGTTTTACCCACTGGAACTGAAGTTACACATAGTTGTAAGCCACTATGTGGGTCCTGGGAATTGAACCTGGGTCCTCTGTAGGAGCAGTCAGAACTCTTAATTACTGAGCAATCTCCCCAGCCCTGCATGTTACCAATAAAAGGCTGCCTCTGCCATTACCTTAGTCCTGCATATACTGCTTAAACTTGTAACATCACAGGAAAGATGCCCACTGTGATAGACATCTACGATCCTCAACAAATACAAATTAAGCTACAGAAAAATAATATTATGTTCTTATATCAGACAAAATGGACTTTAAGTAAAAGTTGCCATGAGGCACAAAAAAAAAAAAAAAAAAAAAAAGATAAAGGGGTCAAGTTCATAAAAAGAAAATATATAAGAAGGGACTGAGTGGAGCACATTCCTTATTTAGCACATATGAGGTCCTGGGTTCCATGTTCAGTACCAGACATGAGAGAAAGGGAGGGAGAGAGAATAAATATACATGCAAATAACCTCCCAACATCTAAATACACAAAGAAAATATCAAAACATTCAAAGGGAGAGATAGATTGCAATATGAAAGTAGCTGGGAATTCCAGTCAACAATTTCCAATAGTACACCAATCACCAGACAGAAAATTAAAGAAGAAACAAAGGACTTGTAACCAACAGCACAACACACATTGTTCTCAGGCAAACCATACGCGCCAGGATAGCCCATATGACGAGTCACGGTACAAGTGTAAGAAATTTAAGAAGACCGAAACCATATCAAGTCTCTTTTCCAACCATAATGTTATAAAACTAGAAATCAACAACAGAAGGAAAACCAGAAGATTCACAAATATGTAGAGAGAAAACAGCCTATTCCTGGCCAACGCACAGGTCCAAAGGAAATAAAAATGGATTGAAAAGTACCTTGAGACAAGCTAAGACAGAAATACAACAAAGTAGTAGGACACACCAATTCCTTTGTTTTCCTTTAAAAATTTTTATTTTTCACTTTACATACCAACTCCAGTTCTCCCTCCCCTCCTTCTCTGGCCCCCCTCCCCCCTCCCACCCCAATGGCTCCACAGAGGGGGTAAGGCATTCCTTGGGAAGACA